AGATATTAAAGCACCACAGCAGAAACTTTTTATTTTGACACAGGAACACAGAAAACACTGGTAGGAAAGCGAGAGAACCGTTAACACCTCTTTCAGAGAACCATCTGCACAGCAGCAAAAATTGCAATAGGTTTTGCTTCAAAACTTCATAGGATTGTCAACGTACTTGCATTCAGGGCAGCATGTTTATTTCCCACAGCAATGTCTTTCACAGAGTCTCCTCCCACAAACAAGGAATGATGGATGAGCACCATCTCAGAGGGCCGGTCAGCTAAGTCAGCATGAAATCAGGAAAGCAGATGGAAAAAGAGGCATGCAAAGACACGTGTGATGTGTCTGAGGTATCACGGCAGGTACATTTCAGTTTTCTGATCTGCTAGCCACTGCTTTAGTGACTGGACTATTTGCCTGCCTAGGAGCTGTAGGTGGACAGAATAATCATTGCTTTAGATCAATCAAAATTATGTAAACACTTCATTTCCTTTGAAGAGGAAAAGGGAATACCTGTATAGCATGATCCTCATTTAATAAATAACCAGAAAAGGAAAACAAAATAATTCAACTTTCTCTCCATATGGTAAAAAGGACTGTCATCTTCTCACAGTGTAATCCACAACGCTATTTGCATTGACCTCTTCACATCAGCTTTAAAGAAAACAACTTTAGTAGGTCCCTTGATGGTAGTGGATACTCTGCAAATCAGATTAATAAAAGCTTTGGGACAGCTCAGTTTCTCTTGGTAAATACCACCTGAAATATTTAATTTTTCCTCTCCTATTCTTAATATATCAGTGTCCAGCATAGCAAGGCGATACATTCCACTTAAATGGTTCCATTTGCAAGTCATTTTTCTTCCCAGTTATTATTTTATGCACCTTCCAAAGTTTTGACAAGATTTTATTAACATGTTCCTTTTGAACCTTTTTGCTTCTTGAACGTGCATGGAAGGCTGGATTTTGGGCAACTGCTGTGTAAGTCCTTGACATTAATTGTGCTTTAGGGATATGACCTGCTGGGCAGGACAATGGCAGCAACTTTATTTTTCCTTTCCAGGGTTGAACATCCTAGCCAATGACGCAGAAATACCCGACTGGCTGATGAAACTCCTCTTGTGGGGAGGAGATGTCTTAACTTCTATCTTTCATATAAGCTTTCTTGGAACATTGGGGTTTCCCTGCTGATTTGAGAGGTCGCCATAAATCACCAACTCCTGTTTCTTCATGACTGCACAAGCTTACAGGATTCACAGTAGTAGCAGCTTCACAGAAAGGTAAAAGGAATATCTAAAATAAGTAATTGATAGTTCTGGTTCTCCTAGCCTAGTCACTGATTTCACAGATCTTCAGCTTTCATTAAGCAGCCCAGCTGAAAACAACAAGCTTCCTCATATGGAAAGGCACTATTTAAGTGAATAAGGATTTCTGAGATTAGACAGAATTTATAGAGGTTCTCCTCCTGACTTTAGTGGATGTTTGCTGTACATAATGAATTCAAGGTCTCACCTTTCTTTGTTTGAAACGTACATAGCACTGTAGTGTCAGTTACATCTGACAGAGATGTAACAACCGAACTTCATTTATTGGTAAAAATCACCCCCCACCCCCAAATGCCACGTAGATTGACCTATGACCTAACATGCAATATTAGCATAAGGACCTGCTATCTACTATGCACTTTTTGGAAAGTATTATTAATATGTCTAAGTAGAGATATGATCAGACTTACGATAATTTTTTGCCATCTCTCCACTTTTAAACATCTCAATATTTATTGGACAGAATTTTAGTGAGGATGCTTATGCTGAGACATTCAACAGTCCAGTGAGTATTTAAAATATTTATACAGTAATTTTCTGTATTAATATAAAATAGCATTGGAAGTTTCTCTTTACTTTAAAACATACACTGCATTGAAGGAGACAGCTACAAAATACTAAAAAACCCCTAGTATTCGACAAATGGTCCCACCAATTTTTATGCATTTGGATGTATCGACTCTTGCCTACCATTTCAAAGAGTAAGCAATCACCATCTTAGAAATACAACTTAAACGGCATTAAATTTCTACAGGATCAACTTAGCAATGATCAAACAATGCAGATAGAGTTGCTAAGAACAATTTTTTCCTCAACTCCTACCAGGAAAGAATGTTTAGATTAATGATTACTTGAGAATCCATCACTGCTGGTTCTTTTATTTTTTTCTGGTACTCACGATTGTTGGCATTTACAATTACCGCAATCAAATCAGGTATGAAAAAAACAAACATGCTAAAAATTACAAACAAAGTAAGCGATAGTTCTGTTTTGCTTTGAGGAAGGCGACGAAACACAGTTGCTTTGAATGGATCTACATGAACAGTCCAAAAAAAACCCGCAAAGGCAAGCCAGAGGATAGAAAAATCTTTGAACAAGCTCCACATTCAAACCTTTATTTCCACAAGTACAGCCCAGGACAACCAATGAGAAATCTGTGTACAAGCAGTAGCTATATGCTTTCACTACAGCAAGTGCCAGGAATGTGCTTCCCCCCACATCAGACTAATAAAGGCCCTTGACCTACCAATTTCTAGGCATTTCCTTTAAGAGTTCATATTGTACCAGACTCCAGGCTGAGAATGAGAGGAAAGGGGGAGATACAGCTCCAGGTTTATTTGTCATTACTGAATGGCTTACTGGTTTTAACAGAGGGGAAAAGCTTTGTTTAAATTTCCACTGAAAGTAATTAATGGTTATTGACTGGCAAATGAAGAACAGGTGACACTCTGAATTAGAAGATAAATGATCTCATGTTCTAGCGTGATAATGGGTTAGTAATTGCTACAAAGCCTCAGCCTAGTGCGTCCCATCATAATGCTAGATCATGTCCAGAACACAAAGGCCTCTGTGTGAGAGGTATTCAGCCGTTCACCTCCCGATACAGCTGCAGAGTGATTTGCTCCATTTATTCTCTGATGGACTGCACAACTGAGGCAAAAGTTCACCCATTCTCACCTTCCTGTTCACATGCTGAACCACATGACCCATGACATGGCTGAACTGGGATAAAAACATTGCCCAGCTTTGGCTCTTGGCTATCTTTTAACCATTGCAAGGTCATAGATTTTAGGAATTTTTCTGGTGCAGGAATGGAGAATCGTGGATTTTCCTGTATTTCTTTGTAATGACTTTTTTGGATGGGCTGACAGTAAGTAAAGAAACTACTTGTGTTCAGTTCTGCCATCCTCTCCCCAATTTTTGGCTCGATCCAGTTAACAAAACATGGGCAAATGGTGAAAAGGAGGAGAAAACTACTATGGAAACAATTGAAGCTTCGGCTCTCTTAGAATAAGGCTGTTCCTTTAATGGCAAATGAAACAAAACATATTTTTCATATTTGAACTCTTTTGGCTCTGGTCTAGTGACTCACAAAGTCTAAAGGCAGTACTGTTATTTACATTTTAAAACAGAAACCTAACCGGAGAGAGATACGTAGCAAGTCTAGCAAGCGGACACACTTTTACAATTATGTGGACTAGGCTATCTGTTCTGCATGCCTGAACTACAGCCTCTGCCAAAATCTTTCCTCTTTCATCTTTCCCCTCTTCCTTTTTCCATATATAAACCCCTGCCAGTAATAAGCACCATTTTCAAGCAACATATCCAAAACATGAACCAGTCTTCTCCTCTGCCCAAATTTCTTTGCTTACATAGTGTTTGTATCTGGGTTAGTGAAGGGGAAAACCCAAGCTGGACTAACACAACGCCCATATAGGTACATTCTCTGCATGCCACTGCCGTTATGGTTATGATGTATCTGCTTGTCTTGAGCATCTGGGGTATGTTGTAGATGTGTTTCACCATTAACTTCCAGTCCAGCATCCCAGTGACAAAACATTTATTAACTGGGCTGTCGTCCATGGATAACAAAGACTCAGTAGTTGAGGTTATGTTTAACTCTATACATTTGATACTTTTCTTTCACTGTCTTCTCTAGCACTGTGCATTGTTAAAACGGGCTCGTAATCAGCTATCTGCCTATTTAAGAGAAAAAAAGAAATACAAACCCAACTTTCTGAGACTTTAAAGTACAACCCATGATTTCTGTTCTAGAAATAAAAGGTGATTTTTTAAGAGAATGAGTAAAGCTTTTTCTTTCCTCCGATGCAAGACGCAAAACACTATGACTGAACAGACACACAATGTGATAAATGGAAAATGTTCCTGTTGGCACTAATTACTATTGCCCTGCACTGCTACAGAGCATTTTTTTCCAAGCCTTATACTGTCAAAAAAATATTTCGTACATATTTCTAGGTATTATGCGAAGAACTTCTGACTTCTTTGTATTTGCCACACACGCACACACAAAAAATCAAACCAAATCAGTAATGTTTACTTTAGGAGATGGAACAGATAGTTGTAGCC